TATAGTTCATAAACTATAATATAGACACTACAGATAAACTAATGTTTTATTGCATTAATAAAAATCTTCATAAACTTTCACATTTATTATTAAAGTAGGTGAAACTTACTAATTTTGTACATCATTAGAATTTCAATCGTTAGTATTAAAAAATACTATACTTTAATATCTATTTGGGTTTAATTGGTAAAAGTTGCTTTCCAGTTTATACTCCTTTTTTAGATTGAGGTTGCATGTTTAGCCTTATCTTCTTATATATAAAATTCTCGTGAATATTTAAGATATTATGTTAGTTACCATACTCCTCCGAAACGGCTTGACTGATTTTTATGAAATTTTATATGCACGTTCAGTAGGTCTAAATTGGTTACTATCTATTTTTAATATCCCTAAGTGATAAGGGCTGTCCACCCCTAACATTTATTTTTATTTTTTCGAATTGTATGTGCCATTAAAAATACGAACAACCCTAAACTTTCACTCTTCTATCACCAAACCTTATTTTATAATAACGATTTTAATTTATATGGCAAAACTATGTTGGCGGGTCAGCTAATTATTTATACATATACTAGATATACATACATATTATAAACCTGCCTCTTAAATCACTATATTAAAAAAAAGCGCTTCAAAATCCGTTGCATAGTTTTAAAGATTTATGTATACATAGGGACGGACAGACATTGATAGCGACTTTGTTTTATACTATGTAATGATTAACACGTTTAGGCAGTAAGATACGTAAGAGTTGTACTTGTATAAAGTTTGATACAAAAAATATAGTATTAAGATTATAAAAATGTAATGTATCTTTTTCAACTACAAGATGAGGGGAAGATCGAGAGAGCTCAGGACACTGAAAAGGCATCATCGTTCCCCAACGTTCGTGGTACCCGGAGGTTCCACTTGCATGTTGATGACTTGCATCTGTTGCATCTGTCCCGTGTATCACGGGACTGTGGCGGGGATGTATTGATCCTCGGCGAGATGAGAAAAGGAACTTTAAATATCTACCATATGACTTTCATAGTAGACTAGCTACTCGCCCAGGCTTCGTCCGGGTGTACATGTATTATATGTATAATCCTTCCTCTAGAATCATTCTATCTATTGAAAAACTCGCTTCAAAATCCGTTGCGTAGTTTTAAAGATTTAAGCATACATAGGGACAGAGAGCGACAGCGACTTTGTTTGATACTTTGTAATGATTAGGATATTTATCCAAATTTATAAAGGTACGAATAATGTGGACTCGTTTATGCCGCTATTTGAATACATGAATACATATAATTTTTATATATAATCAGTATATGTATCTGAATTCAATATGCATTTTTGATTTCATAAATTAGTCTACTTCGGTAATTAATAAATGCAAAATATATTTATTTATTCAAAAAGAAACTAATTGCAAAAGATGGTTAGTGTATATATATATACATATACAGTATTTGATTTTGAAATAATTACAACATTTTATCCTAATTAAATTAGAATTAGTGTAAAATTTTTTGACAAGGTTTATTAATAAACATGTCGCAAAGTAATCGGTAGACACACCTGGTGTTTTAGCTACGGTAACCTTTTACCATCAGGTGGGCCATTTGCTTATTTGCCACCATCGTAGTATAAAAAAACAAGCTAACTGCCATCGGAAAGAAAATGCTCACCACTTTCTTAGGCCATTGCCTGTACACATGAATTTATAGTAGTTATAAACTATACAATGTGTGTATGTATGTGTAAGTGTGTTAATTAACCTGTAAATCAACCTCATCATAAAATTGTTAAAAGAAAGTAAGTACTTGAATACCGGAGATTTGCATGTAAAATAAAACAGTTTCATCAAAATCTGTTCCGTAGTTTTTGCGTGAAAGAGTAACAAACATCCATACTTACAAACTTTTGCGTTTATAATATATTAAGATATGCTGGAAAGACATGTATATGCTGTGGAAGCAGACTTAATATTGTAGCAATTGTAGTAACCAACTATAAAGTTTTCCATTAGGAAACTCTGGTAAACCCATCCTGAATAACATCCATAACGTATCTATATGTAAAGGACTAAAAGTTGAATGGTACTCTATTCTATTATGTTTTTACGGTATATGCTAGCGAGGCACCAGTGGAGGATGATAGGATGAGCATGAGATCAGATCAGTTAGGCCAAGTGATAAAAACAGTAGGAATTTATAACGATGGTTCAGTTTGGGTTACGAACACTGATTAGACTATTTCCTTTTGCAATAGCATACGCTGTTGGTTACTCTATTTTCCCAAATTTGAATTTAAAAGTGAATCTGTATTATTGTAAGCATGTACAACTTTTATTTGAAAAGAATACGAGCTGAATTTCATATCACTTTTTTTCATCTCGAAATTATTCCGAACTGACGGTAGATTTGAGATATCGAGTATGTATAGACCTACATTAATAAAGATATTTGAATTGAATTTTTGTTACCAGTAGCAACCGCGTGGAGGTCAGCCTGTAATGTTACATTTGTAATTAATATCTTCCCCCAACGTACCTAAGAGATTATATTAGAGAGACTATATTAGATTATTATTAGTATTTTATAGATAATTAATCGAAAGCGAGGTCGAGTACCCAAAAAGTATATTAAAAGTAAAAGCTCAAAGCTCTCCCGCGGAGCTTGCGTCCAAGCCAGGAAACCAGTTGCGCCGCACTCTTCAAAAGCGTCTTCGTAAGCATCCGTGGACATTCACACGCCTCCGTAGACGGATCTTTATAGCCGTACCATTTCATAAGCGATAGCGGTTTTGTTTATTATTTAAATTATTTATAACATTAATATGTATATATAAGAAGAATTTAAATATTAGATATTGTAATCTTTCTTAATAACATTATAAAAGCGAATGTTTGTTAGTATGGATATTTGTTCCTCTTTCACGCAAAAACTACTGAACGGATATTGATGAAACTTTACAGTAATATAGCTTATGTATCAGAATAACACACAGGCTATATTTTATACTGAAATTTAACGCGGGAGAAATCGCGGGCACAGCTAGTATATGTAAATATATATAAATAATATACACCCGCGTGGAACAGTGACCATGGATAGCATTTTTAATTATTCAGGCTAATGACAAAAAGACAGAGCAAAATTTCATCGTTCTAGCTTAAATAATGATGAATTTCCGTACAAACTATTTTAATAGATACTTATAATAGGCAATAATGTAATACATGCGAATGTAAAGTGTACCAAAAGAAGTAAGAACTGAGAAAATTATACAACAAAATAATAATGTTAGCCATCAAATATTAGAAGTAATAACTAAAGTTAAATACCGTTATAGTCCACAAACATTGACTGATATGACTTCATAAAAAGTCTCTCAATCCATTTACTAAGCTAAATAATACTGAACAAAATTATCTAACGAAACTCAACTGATATCAACTGATAGTACTTACTCTAAAAACCTTAATTTACGTCAAGAGATAACCACGATACTCATCTATTACGTTTTGATTTATTGTAATAATTGAAAATACATATATTACATAATATTTAATTTATAGCTATCTGGTAATAATAACTCCAAACGATAAGACAACTCAAATTACAAGTGTATGTATCATATATTGGGAAGTTTCAGAAATACTTCGAAGCAGTAGTACTTTTATTTTATTCCTTTTTCAAATTACACTCCACATAAATTGCGTCGCTGTACATTCACGTCTGGTCATCTAGGTCGCCTCGAACATAGAGAGAGCATCCCGCTCCCTCCTTGTTCCCGGCCTCTTTATCTCTATTACTATTGGTAGCAGCATAATCGTGACGCCACCAACATCACGTGACTCGCTATGGTTTTAAATTTGAAATGTAAGTAACAAATAGTCAACTGAGTGTTCTTTATGTATTGAAACTAACACATATCATATCTGTATGTGCAAATAAAGTAAAAATATGATTTGATTAGATTATAGGTAGACATGATTGTACAAGTAGTTAGCACACCGCCTTACTTCCGATAATCGCAGTTTCGATTCCTCGCACGATACAAACATTTGTATGCATAAGAATGTTTTTTTTATATTGATCTGGGTGTTTTGTATTAATACACATACAGTAAAGATTAAAATATATATATAATTCTAAATGGCTATTAGTGCACTGTTTCTACTCTATAGATGATTATATAAATTATAAATACTATGAATAAAAATGTAATGTAATGATAAGAATAATAATTGTAAAAACATTATATAATAATCGTTAAATATTAAATTAGAATATAATTGTTATAACATATGTAATTTTTAGGCTTTAGTAATAAAAATTGGCATGCCTACTGTAAAAAGGCGTATTACAGAGCTGCATATGATTACTGTGCTTAAATGCTTAATTGTTTACTTATATCTGTCTGTAATGCAAATAAATGACTTACTTATTTACTTACTTATATCAGTTCTCTAGTACCCATAACCCAAGCTCTGTTTTGCTTGTGAGTAGATGGCGCTGTGTGATTTGTAAAAAAACAGGTATATTCAAAGGTTTAAATATACCTTTAATATAATATTTTAATCTATACATATAATAAAACTATAACTAATAGATGTCCGTACATAGAATTGAATATTTGAGGAAAACTATTATATTATTCACAGGACTTTATGAATGTAATGGAATCCAAAACAATTATTTTCACATTTTTCTCTATTCCTCTGGTCAACAGTGCGCGCTTATCTCAGAAACGGGTCTTTACTGATTTGCGCGGAATTTTCACAAATTTATTATGTTAAGCTTCACTTAAAAATAGCGTTTGATTTATTTCAATCTGTTTGCAAACAATAAAGTTTTACTAGTACTAAATCGAGCGTTTAGTAAACATTCAATAATTATAACAACGATGAGAAATCTATAACCGCTGTACTTCTATATCTTGTAATACACACCACAATGTCGTCGACCGTGCAGTTTTAAGTTCACAATTATATAAATCGGACGAGCGGCGCACGCGCAGCCCTCCTTTACTGTTTTTGTACTCGGTACCGACCGTTACTTAGTATTATTAGTAAATAAACTAAATAAAACATACTATCATTAAACTATTTTGTTCTTGATAAATAAAACATACTACCTACTAAGTAATTTTTATCGAATAATTTTGTTCAGTTATTTTATAAATTTTATTTTATTTATGAGAGTGCGTAAAAGTTACTAACTATGGACAATGAAATATGTTTTGTGTGTTGTTTTGTGTTTTGATGGAAGTATAAAGCGGAACATTGGAATCAGAGACTAATAAATTAGGTTAGTATGTGTTTTATGTTATAATTATTATAAAAACTTACATTGTTGCTCTGGTAAATATGACTGATTTATTTGGTTACTAAAGTAAGTCTTCATTTATTCATTTATTACTATTACTATTACTATTTGGCAGTTTGTATTCATACAAAATACTTAATAATATCGCTCGTAACAACATTTATTCAAAAGTGTAATACATTTTTCTTGTTATGAGTTTGCGTTTCGAATCAAGAAAATATGATTATTTATAGTGCTTATAAATAATAAGATTATTTGAATAACTATTATTTATATTTCTATTTAAACTACAGGATATTAAAATAAACTGTAATCAACTTGAATATAAATTTATACAAATATAAAGTAATCTTTTATCATGGTATGGACATGTAATGCGTAAAAATGAGAATCATATTTTAAGGAAGGTGTTACATATGAATATGGATGATTTTAAGGGCAGAGGAAGGCCGAAAAAGAGATGGTTGGACAGTGTGAAAGATGATATGGTAAGAAAGGAAGTAAATAACGAGATGACTGCGAACAGGGATGAATGGAAGAGAAAAACAAAAACATATTACGCCGACTACAAATAAATGGGATAAGGAAGAAGCAGGTGATGATGTAATTAACTTAAATATACCTCGTAGAATGTTCTTTTAAGAATGTTCTCGATTTATTTACTTTTAAAGCTTCTTGAAAATATCGGTGAATTTCTGCCAATGACTGACATTGAGAAAAAATTGTAAAATCTATGTATTGACGTTTTATTTGTTTGATAGTATTGATGTTATTTTTCCACCATTACGGCCCATAAAAATGCTCTTACCTCTGTTTCTTCTATTTGTATAGTTATTTCTAATATATCGTATATTAATTATATTTTGTGTATGTAATTGATTAATAAAGAATTCATCTGTTTTCTTGTAAATATATAGGGTCTGGGTCGGCAACGCACCGTGATACCCCTGGTATTTCAGGCGTCCTACCATTACCGCGTAGGTTACTGTTACCGTTTACCATCAGATAGGTCGTATGCTTGTTTGCCATCATCGTAGTATAATAAAATATCGAAAACTAGCCTTTACCCGTAACTTCATCTATCTTTTTAGATAAATGATAGCCTGATAATCATTTATCTATAGATAATGATAGATGTACATGCTTAATATACACCCTTCCTATATAATAAATTTAATAAAAATCCATTCAACTGTTTAGTCGTTAAACGGTAAGAACCATATACACATTTCACACAGTCTTTCATATTTATAACATTAATATAGATATACAATCATAATCATTAATCCAAACATTTGTATCGTCCGAGTATCGAACTCGCACCGGAAAGACCGCGTGCCAAACCACTAGAGAACTGAAATCGTTAATTATACTAGTAATATTTTAAAATAGAAACTAAGATATAGACCAGATAACTGGCACTAAATGTCGTTTGAAAACAAGTTTTAAGTCGTTGGACAAACTGACATAAATAACATCCGTTTAGTACCATTCCATAGTCATTATCAGTCAGTTTCTTATCACTACACTCAATATACCTAATTACCGTCATATTCTATACATATAAATAAAACTGAAGTGTCTATTTGTAATATTGAAATAACCGTTTTTTACTACATGCATATGAATACAAATACGGTTCATACACCAAAATAACAATTTTTACAATGTTTGTCTGTCTGTCTGTTTGTTGCGACTAATCTCTGAAAATGCTGGACCGATTTTGACAGGACTATTTTTGGCAGGTAGCTGATGTAATAAGGAGTAACTGAGGCTATTTTTATTTTAGAAAATAAAGTAAAATTTCAGCTAGTATGAAATATCGTTCATTTTTAGTACGATAATATACGGTATGATTTTGGAATTATCAAGCGTATGACCACAGAGGCATTGTGGCACAGTGTAGTATATTTTTATATTTTAAGTAAGGTGTTACATATAAATGTGTGTGTGGCTTTAAGGTCAGAGGAAAGCCGAAAAAGAGATCGATGGACTGTATGAAAAATAATATAGTAAGAAACAGAGTAAATAACGATATAACTGCGAGCAGGGATGAATGGAAGAGGAATGGATGGATGATGAATATATTACGCCGGCCACAAATAAATGACATAACGAAAAAGCAATTTTTATTATTTCGATAGTCTGTTATTTAATTTAATTTAAATTATCCACCGTGTTTACAATTTTGAAATATTGCCCTCGTTCTACGCTATTCAATATCCACAATGTAATTACATGGTATGTACAAACCAAGATAGCATAATTTTTTGATAATATGTGCATTACATTGTAATTATAATCTTATATATAAAATTCACAACGTTAGTTATACACCTTCGGCTTCATCGATTCGATGAAATTTTATATGCATATTCAGTAGATCTGAGAATCGGCTACTATTTTTCATACCCCTAAGTAGTAAGGGATATCTACCCCTAAATATTTATTTTTTATTTTTTCGACATATTTTTTTAATTTTCAGCCTTTTAGAATCAATCCCTATTTTTTAATAGCGATTTTAATTTATATGGCAAACCAACGTTTGCCGGGATAGCTAGTGAATTATAAGATTAACAATAAAAAGTACCTTACTGTAATAATAGAGTAAGTCGAGTAGAGCTGAATGTAAAATTTTTTTTAAAAGTATAGCTATAACGCTTAGGTGTGGGGAGGAGAAGGAGGGAGGAGGCGCAAGGACTATGAATAGAGATAGAACAAATACTAAAGAAAACTACATTGTAATTTTAAAGCGTGTATTATTATAAAAAACTAGCTGATCCCGCGATTCGTCCGCGTGGAATTTAACTTTATTTTTCTAAAATGAAATAATTTTTCTAAAATAAAAGTAGTCTAAGTTACTCCTTATTACATCTACCAAGAAAAAGCCCATCAAAATCGGTCCAGCCATTTCAGAGATTAGCCGGAACAAACAGACAGACAAAAATTGTAAAAAATGATATTGTGGTGTATGTACCGTTTTTGTATACATATGCATGTAGTGAAAAACGGTTATTTCAATATTACAAACAGACACTCCAATTTTATTTATATGTATAGATAAGAGAAGTGTATGCGTTGAAACGTATTGTTTATTTGCTTTGTGGACGCCATTCAATTTCATGGACCAGACATACACAATGGAATTTAATGGCGCCGCGAGTCGTGCTCAGGGGTGTCAGCAAGAATAGCCATTTAAAAAAACTGTTTATTGAGTTATAAAATTATAGGTCTTGGTAAATTAAAAAAAATATATAAAATAGTACCAATACATAAAATAAATAGTGAAAAATAAATCTGCTGACCCGCGCATCATCGTCTGTATTGCACTCACATACATTTATCATTATATTTTAATAATTTTAAAATTTAAATAATATCTTTTTAAATTACCGCCTTTGTTATTTTGATATATAAAAAGCTATATTATTGTAAAGTTTCATCAAAATCCGTTCAGTAGTTTTTGTGTGAAAGACAGTAGTTATCTGTGATAGTAATAAACATCCATCCATACATTGTGAGGGATTTTTACCTATTAAAAAACCAGACGGTGTCCCTACAAGCGCTATTGGCGGAGTGGCTTGGTCGCGGTTGGCAGCCCTGGCTGCGTTAGCTGTATCGGTCGCAAGTCTCGAAAGTCCACCATAAAAGAAATTGGGGTCGATCGCGAGACCCATAGACATAAACAGTAAAAAAATTGAAGCGGTTTAATAGTTTCTATAGAGAACACCGTCTATAGCCTGGAAATATTGTATAAGTGTATTGTTTTGGTTTATCCTTTGTTGTTCTTATTCAGCTTGTTCGTCATTTCAATCAAATCAAAAAATATTTATTCATGTAGGACATTTTAGCCGCTTATGAACGTCAAATATTTCTCGCTGCCGTACAGTTCAGTATACAGATTCAATAGAACTAAGAAACTCAACTGATTTTTTTTTAAAACTCAGTTACAATATTGAAAAATATAAATATATATATACATACTAATAGCCGACTTGTAAAAATGTGAAATTTTGAAGAACATAAAAGTATTTTCTTTTAATAATCTTTTATTATGTAATAAATATATATCAGATTAAAATTTAAATTTATGTTAATATTTACAGTTAAATTAATAATAATAATAATAATCTCAGGACAATTCACACAAAGACCCAAGTTAAGCTAGCTAAAGCTTGTGTTATGGGTACTAGACATTACACAAAGTTAAATTGTATTGTTAATGTAAATTGTAATCGTAGTTTTATCAAAATCCATTCAGATGGATGGATATTTGTAGTATAGATGTATGTATGTAATGGATATTTGTTACTGTTTTACACAAATACATCTATACTTACAAAGTTTCGCGTATATAATATTATTACGACAAAATGACGAGGTAATTATAATCTGTTGTAAATACATAGAAAATAAATAAATCTCAAAACTGATATCTGATGATAATGCTAATTTACTATATGTAGTCATAACTATTATGACACTATCTATCAGGAAGTGCGAATATGTTGAGATATCAACTGAAATGTTAAACAAAAATTGCAATTGTAATATAAAAATTCATAACTGAATATTAACATCCATCAACTGTCAGCATTTACTGTATTATTTGTACTAACGAATATTACTATATTCTCACATTTAAACTGTTCAAACATATTTGAAAACTAGTTTTACCGCGGAACTTCGCCTGCGTCATATTAGAGAGAGGAGCTCTTAAAAGAAATATTATTATTTGTTTTGTTTTTGTAACATTTTTCATTCATGCTCTTTTTGGACGTAGTGATTTTATAATAATAATAATATTTCTGGACAATTCACACAGCGCCGTCTAATCCCAAGATAAATAGAGTTTGTCTTATGGGTACTACAATTGACATAAAAACATTTTTTTATGAATCTAAATATATATAACTCAAAGGTGACTGACGGGGGAAATGGGATTGTTGGTAATGTGGATTGATAACCCCATTGCTAGCAAT